TCAATTAAATTCATTTTAATGAACTATATCATTGACTCTGTCTGAATTAATATGAAGTGTGTGTATTCCCTGAATAGTAAAAGAACCTAAGGTAATCTCGTCTACACTTCTTCCACCTATCCGGGACCGGGTCGCAGGGGCAGCATCTCAACTAGGGCGTTCCAGACCATCCTCTCCCCGGCCACCTCCATCAGCTCCTCCGATAAGACCCGAAGGCATTCGGAGATACACTTTCTCCAACGTGTCCTGGGTTGATCAGGGGACCTCCTGCCGGCAGGACATGCCTGAAACACCTCCCTGGGGAGGCGTCCAGGAGGCATCCTAACAAGTTGCCCAAATCACCTCAACTGACTCCTCTCGATATGGAGGAGCAGCGGCTCTACTCTGAGTCTCTCCCGAATGTCTGAGCTCCTCACCCTATCTCTAAGGCTGAGCCCAGCCACCCCGTGGAGGAAACTCATTTCGGCCGCTGGCATCTGCCATCTTGTTCTTTTGGTCATTACCCAAAGCTCATGACTGTAGGTGAGGACTGGGCAGTAGATAGACTGGTAAATCGAGAGCCTTGCTTTCCCAGCTGCTTCACATTCGGCTGCGATCCTCCCCAGCAAGAGCTGTAGGTCAGAGCCTGATGAAGCTAGGAGGACCACATCATCCGCATAAAGCAGAGATGAGATTCCTGCCACCTAACTCCACACCCTCAACACCACAGCTGCACCTAGAAATCCTGTCCATAAACATTATGAACAGGACCGGTGACAAAGAGCAGCCCTGGCGGAGTCCAACCCTCACTGGGAACAGGGCCGACTTACTACCGGCTTTGCAGACCAAACCCACACTCCTCTAGTACAGGGACTGAATGGTCCTTAGCAAAAGACCATTCACCCCATTCTCCTGGAGTGCTCCCCACAGGGTATCTCTGGGGACACGGTCATAAGCCTTATCCAAATCCACAAAACACATGTGGATTGAGTGGGCAAACTCCCATGACCCCTCCATCACCCTAGCGATAGTAAAGCGTTGGTCTACAGTTCCACGGCCAGGACGGAAGCCACATTGCTCCTCCTCTATCTGAGATTCAGCTATCGACCCTCCTCTCCAGTACTCTGGGGTAGAGCTTTCCCAGGAGGCTGAGGAGTGTGATCCCCATATAGTTGGAGCACACCCTCTGGTCCCCCTTTTTAAAAAGTGGGACCACCACCCCGGTCTGTCACCACAGGAACTGCCCCAGATGACCATGCAATTGTGGCAAGCGGGGCCAGGAGCTAGGGATACACACGGCTCTAGAGCAATGCTAGGCCAGAACCAATCTATGTGTTCCTCCTAGACTGGGAAGGAACAAGTGTTTCTGTTATTACTGTAACAACAACGCCACCTTGATACCCAAGGACACAAAAACAAAGACACATAGGTCCACTCTTATAACAATGAGCTTGAGACTGGGTTCCCAAATGACATGAATTTATTAACAGAAAGATAAATAAAACTTGATTAAAAAGACTAAAACTAATTACTAACAGGCCAAAATGGCAATAAAATAATTATTTAAAAAAGGCAGGTTGAAGCTACTTAGGAGGTGACGCAATGGAGGGAGGGAGAAAGAGAAGGAGGGAGATGCTACAGCGCCCCTATTTGTACCATCCTACCGTACAGGTGATAGGTTGAGCAATTTACTGGTTGAGACGCCAACCAGTCCTGCTACACAGTGTTGCAGAAACTTGTCAACCAAGACAGTCCTACAACATCCAAAGCCGTGATATACCCAGGTCAGATCTCATCCACCCCAGGGGCTCCGGTGCTGCATAGTTGTTTAACTACCTCAGTGACTTCTGCCCCAGAGACCAGACAGTCCATCCCCAGGTCTCCCAGCTCTGGTTCCTACTCGGAATGCTTGTTGGTGGGATTGAGGAGCTCCTCAAATTATTCCTTCCACCGCCCTACTATAGCCCTAGTTGGCGTCAACAGCTCCCCATCCCCACTGTAAACAGTGTAAGTAAGTTGCTGCCTTCCTCCCCTGAGCCACTGGATGGTTTGCTAGAACCTTTTTGGAGCCGATCGATAGTCTTTCTCCATGGTCTCGCCTTGAAAACTGCCACTGCTGCACCTCGCTTGGCCCTCCGGTACCTGCCTGCTGCCTCTGGAGACCCACAGGCCAGCCACGCCCTGTAGGCCCACTTTTTCAGCTTGACAGCTCCCCTAACCTCTGGTGTCCACCAGCGGGTATGGGGGTTGCTTCCACGACTGGTGCTGGCCACCTTGCGACCACAACTAGCAACAGCTGCCTCAACAATTGCAGAATGGAACAAGGCCTATTCGGACTCAGTGTCCCCCACTGCTTTCAGGACGTGGTCAAAGCTCTGCCAGAGATGGGAGATGAAGACTATCTGGCCAGGTTCATCTGCCAGGCGTTCCCGGCAGACCCTCACAATACGTTTGCGTCTACCATGTCTGCGCAGCATCTTCCCCTGCCATCTGATCTAACTCACCACCAGGTGGTGATCAGTTGACAGCTCTGCTCCTCTCATTACTTGAGTGTCCAAAACATACGGTCTCAGGTCAGATAATTCAACAACATTCATTATTATTCTTATGATGGACCACGATCATACAGCTATGAGCCTGCTGATAGCCCCAGAGAGCAGAGTCAGAGGGAGAAACGTTGGCCAAAGGAGAGAGAGATTTAGCTGTGATGTCAGGAGGTTCTGTGGAGCGAGAACGTGTCTCGGTGAGCGAACGATGCTAGCTTAAACTCGTGTGCTAACATCACGATACCAGGGCTGCCAACTCTCATGCTGTGAGACACAAACATTTGACCCTCTTCACACGCTCTCACACCACACCTCCAGTATCTCACGCTGATCAATCACCCCCCCCCCCCCCCCACACACACACACACACACTCACACCCCAACCTGGTTTTGACGCTGATCTGGGCTCTAGGAGCTCTAAGAGCACGCAGGTATTTTTCAAAACTCTGAAACGGGGCTGTGGAGAATGGGAGGCATGTTGAACTGTTTCATACTTCATTGGTCATTTTTTAAATCAGACGATGTGACTGGTGTCTGATGTAAAAAATAACCTATAATAGGTCATTGTTTAAATCTCAGAAGGCATGACTCAGCACATTTCTGGTCAGATGCTCCAGTTGGGTCGGTGGCTGAGGGTGAAGCGAATCAGGCAGAGAAAAGCTGCTCTTGGTGTTTTAATCTTCATCTTCACCTCCTTCCTCTTCCTCCCAGTTGCCACCAGGAGCACGACGTGGCTTGTTAAACCAAATCTCATTTTGTGTTTTACACACTTGAGCGAGGCGGCTGGTTTCCTGAGAGCAACCCAACACACCCATGGAGGCGACAGCTTCGCCCACATCAGCACCATGACTCACGGTTGGTGCATTCAGCACGAGTGCCTGTAAATCTGATTAAAAACTACAGCAGACTCTGAAAGGGCAGCGGGACATCTCGGCTATCAAGGAATTCCTCCTAAAACCATCTAACACCGTCTTTGATGATGAACTCAACCCTTTGCCTGTTTCATCTTTTCCTGTGAAACAATCTAACATCAAACTCGTTGAATTTGGGATCAAACCACTGACCTTCAGGCTCTCCGTTCCTAAGGTCCACATTCAGATGGATCGGTGTCCTTACGTGGGAAGACGTGACGTGAAGTTGTAGGCTCTGATCTGGGATTCTTTCATCCTGATTCACCGAGTTTCTGATTTAGTTATTTTTTCTGAACTTGGGATGTTCTGGCCTGATTTGGGACTGGATCATAGTTTCTTGATTCAGAACCTCTGGATTTGTTCTGGATTAGTTAGTAGGTGCACGTTCCGTGTGCAGAGACCAGTGTTGGGAGTAACGCGGTACAAAAGTAATTAATTACTATAATGCATAGCTTTTTGCTGTAATGTGGTAATGTAAGGCATTACAGGGACAGAAAATGGTAATATTTACTCGGTACGGTTGTCAGTAACGCAGTAATTACAACGCATTTTTAAACCCAGAATCAAGATGTGGGTTTCTAAAACATTCTAATTGCGGGAAGCCTGAAAAAAGATCCAGTGTCCACATATATGACGTCATGTATGGACTCAGCTTTGCGGGCAGAGAGGACGCAGCGGTAACGGCTCAAATACTCCAGCTGCATCCTCCGCGCGGCCGCTGTTATATTCACAAAATCGCTCCACCAAAACAAAGTAATTAGTTTGTGATCGTTTATATCAGCGCATATTCTCTGGTACTTCATGTACTTTTCAGCTGAGTTCATAATCTGTGCCCCGGTGATTTCAACTCATTGCTGCTGAGCAAGCTTTTATTTTTTTGCGTTGGGTAGATCCCTTTGGCTGATTAGTTAGAAAGTAGGAAATCTAGTTTACAGTTTTTCTGGAAGACGGAGAAAACATGCAGCATGCAGGAAGGTTAGAGCGAGAAAGGGCCGGAAATTATTCACATAAAATCAAAAAAACAAAACAAAGTGCTTGAAAAGCAAAAAAGTAGGTAGATTTATCCCAATTCACATGTTTACCAGTGAAAAGCAATAATATATAAGCATTTAATATTTATACATGTGATAGAATCAGATCAGCCCAGAAGTCAGTCCCACATCCAGGGCCGTATCAAGGCATTTGGGGACCAAGGCAAATATAGGCTTGGAGCCCCCACCACCTCACTCCCTGCTCAGTTAATATAAGATGGCAGCGTGCTGAGAGTACACATTGTTGTTGTTTTTATTTAATAAACAATCATTTTAAAGCACTGTTATTATATCTGACTGTGTTTAACAGCAACCCTAGCTCAGACACCACATCACCTTCCACATATATGTCATGAGCTCACTGAGCGTCACATGACCAGATTCATACTGAAGTTGTTTTGGTGAAAGTAACTTAAAGTAATGTAAAAGTAGTGTAATGCCTTACATTTTAAAATCAGTAATATTGTAATTTAATGAATTACTTTAAAACACACACACACGCATGCACACACACACACACAAACAAGCAAACACACACACACACACACACACACACACCTGTGGGTGAGTAAACAGCTGAGAACTGGGTCTAACCTCACACACGGCCCGACCCACACTCCAGTTCCACCAGAGACTCGGTGAGAGAAACCAGCAGCTTCACAGCTGGACCTGCTGGTAGGATCCATACCCATGAAGGTCTCAGGGGTCTGGATCTGGATCTGGTCTAAGTTTGTCTCAGAAAAGGCAGCACATAACCCACAGAGACCCATGACCAGTTGACCCAGACCCAATGAGATCCCAGGTTGAACCAGAACCAGGAGCCAACGTTAACACAGCAGGCCTTGGTGGTCTGCAGAGCTGGACTCTCAGGCCATCATGAAACTGTCAGCTTTGATAGCTGAGCAGATCTGTAGCAGAGCATCGGTGGTCCAGTGGGGGACACCTCCAACCACAGCGGCCTCCCCTGACGGGAATCCACCTGCCGCAGTCTGGAGCGCGTTTACGCTCGAGTAAACACGAGGCAGCACAAAGCAAACAGCTAGTCTTCTTCAGCAAACATGAGCGCACACCAGGAGGGAGCCCGTTTTCCTCCCAGCAGCTGAACGAGCCGTCGGCTGAATAAAAGCTGCACCAAACCCAGAAATGTGCTAAATGAGCAGAACTTCTGTTTTGGTCAGAATGAGCCCACCAGCTGATCCCTCCTGCTCAGAGGTGCGAAGATCAGCAGGTCTGATTATTTCTGCAGGGAAGCGGACACTGGGTCCGATGGGATCCCAGTTTGTTTGCTGAACAGAGCACTTGGCTGCTCTTAATGACCCATAATCCTCAGCGAGGCCTTGAATCAGAGCTTTGGAGGGTGGAGTCTGCTGCCACAGAGGAAATGAGTTAACACGATTCAATTACACACCACAGCCAATCCAATTATGTAGTTAGCCCAGGCACAGAGGTCGCCTGGAAAGCCCAGATCCAGGTGGGAGCAACGAGACCCCGACCGCTCCTTTAACAAACAGCAGCAACACGACGGGACAGAACCAGAACAAGCTGATAAAACAAACAGTCTGCAGAAGTGGACGTCAGGTTCCTCTCTGCAGGTCTCAGCCAGAACCCACCTTTAGCTGGGGTTCATGTAACCTGGTGCAGAAGCATTCAGAACTTCCAGGTTCTGTGCGGACGGACCTGCTGGTGTCCCGGAGAGGTTTTCTCTAAGAAAACCAGCCTCATGAGATAAGGCCGAGCTCTTTTTGTCCTCCACTGGAATGTTCTGATAAATGTTTATCGGACCTTTAGAAAAGTTTCCTCATCCTGACTGGAAAGCTGCAGGTTAAAATCCGGACAACATGTTTACTAATCTGTGGAATTTAATCTGAGTCATCCTGAGGTGTGATGAACACACGGTCATGTGATCAGGCTGCAGGGTCAACATCAGGTCAAATGCTCTGGAAAGGTCCAGAATTCTGGTTCTTCTGGACTCAGCTGAGCTGCATTTGTATCAGTGAGCTCTGGGAAGAGTTCTGAGAACCCTTGAGCCCCTCCGCTGCAGCCATGAGGCCCACCTCCCTCGGAGGCTGTGGTTCCAGGGACTCCATGCAGGTGCAGAGGTGATGGAGCTTTTCCTGCTGTAGGTCCTCATCTCTGGAATGAGTTCCCTCTGCACGTTAGGCAGGCTCCTTCACTTCCTGGTTTGTTCCTCTGTGGCCTTTAACCCCTGTGAGACCCCGTAAATGATCTCATCTAAACCATCCAAATTTAATTTGACACCTTTATGTTAGACCAGTTTTTATGCTTCTTTGTTCAGCCTGTTCTTGTTTTAGTAGAGCTTTAGAAACAAACTGAGTCCAGGGCGGTCGGGGGCATGAGAGGCAGGAGAACCCATTATTAGCGTATTTTTCATGCGTGAATGTTAAACCAGCCTCCAGTCACTAGGTGGCAGCAGTGCTCGGACTAATCTACAGGCGGCCTGTTGAACCCAGCAGAAGAAGCAGCTTAAGGAGCCAGATTTATACTTCTCCATCGGCTCCACAAGGGATAGACACACACGCAATAACGATATTTAACCTTTGGACTTCTCCGTCACCTGCCAGGACAACAGAGGGCGCTCTTCTGGGGTATCCTGCCACCACTACAGTCATGGATCCAGTCTAAGATGGTGCATTTACTATTGTGTTTATATTTTGGGTATTTTTGTATTTAAGAGACTTTTTTAACATGGACAAATGTGTCCCTCATTCTCCTCCACCTTTTCTGTCACACGTGCCGGCGAATGAAGCGGAGAAGAGGTGAGGATCCAAACGGGGCGAGGAAGACAGGCAGCCAGGTAGGAACGTTTAACATTGATTTATTAGGAGACACGCTGACAAAGAAACAATGATCCGACACATGACACAGAACAGAAGGGGTTTAAATACACGAGGGCCGGGAGCTACGGTGATTGGGAAACGAGAGGCAGGTGGGAGCAAATAACGGCGACACAAGGCTGAACAAAACGGGGTGACAGGACAGGGTGTGACACTTTCAAGGGGTTGCCACCTCTAAACCCACGTTTCTCATCATGTCTGTCCACGAATAAAACGCTTCTTATATTGTCCAGTCATGGGAGAATAAACGGCTTCTCTTCAAGCTGCTCCGTGTCTGTCGCTAGCTAAGGGGCAATGGCAGTGCTGTTGTCCTGGCCAATCACAAGCTTGCACTCTGTCTTGTGTAACAGAATGAAGTGACTGTTTTTCCCCTCCTCTGACACAGGACTAGTCTGCATGAGATATGGTCTCAAGGTCTCACGCATTTGCTTCCAACCTGCTTATTTTCTGCTCAACAGAAGAACGAAGAATGAACTCTTTTCTTTAATTGATCAAAGAACTCTATTTTAATAAAGCTAATCCATCAAAGTGTTAGTCAATAAATAAGATGTGACCGATCTATGAAATCAAAATATTAATTACTTTATTATAATCCTATACAAAATAAAGGTACTGTGACTTTAAATGTTCCAACAGGACTGATTTCACGTAGTGTTAAAAGACATAACACATTACTTTCACTTATCCAATCAGAATTTGCCAGATCTGACGGAGGCGTGGTTCTGATGGTGTTTGGTAATTTTTCATTCGACCATAAACCATAACATCCGAAGTATAAAACTACGCCACGTCAGCTCTAACGCCAGTTCAAAGTGTTCCAGAGAAAGTGACGGATCAATCCTGATCTAAACTCTTCAGCCAAAAGAACCAACGACAAGCTGGAAAATTTTGTTGCTGTGCCCACTGCTGCAACGGTTCCTTTCAGAATAAAAGCTGAACCATCAAGACTCAGGTCCAGGTCTCACCAGACACCAACAAATTGTCATGACCCGGAAGTATCTCGAGACTGGTGGTCGGTTGCTGTGGCTTCTTCTACGGGTTCCGGTTCCATTAGGTCAAGGTGGACCTTTACACCTCCTGATCTAGACGGGGACTTCCGCTCAGGGTATGTAGACCGACAAATGGTGTCTCATGTGTTTATGAATTTCCTAACCAAAGCTTAGCGCGAAGATATCACCTTCAGTTCCCAAACACAGTTTCTGATCAACATCGCACGTCATCCATTCACTGTCTCATCCACTTTAGTTACACCATACGTTTAGTGTTAAAAGTTAGTCTAGTTTAATTTGTTTAGTAATAAATATTTAAACTTTTAAACTCGACTCTCTCTCTTCTGTTGTCTCTGAGTGAATACGAAGCTGTTATCTAATCTCTGCATTAAAAAGATCCAATCTTCTGGTAAATAACCTCACAGATCCGTAAGGTGGATTTCATATTTCCTATGGAATCCTACAGCTTACGGCTCATTAAATAACACGTAATTTAAATCATTACACTTGTTTGACGGATGTTTAGAAAAGGTGGGCTCAACTCCTGTTGGAGAGCCTTTGCAATGATGGATAATGGTGTTGTGTGTCTTTGTACTGACGTAGAAGGAGAAGAAGAAGTCATGCCAAAGATGTGCCACACCTGGTTTGTAGTCGTTTTCTTTACCAGTCAATGACAGATGAAACTCACAATTTCTTTTCATTTAAATTAATGTGTGATTCAAGTTGTAAAGAAAGTGCATTAGAAAATAGTTTTTATAGCCCCGTTCAGGGCTCTGTGAGCTGACTGGTAGGGGAGGAGCCTTACCCCCAAATTCCACTACCTCCGCTCCGCCCCCGCCTTCCGCAGCCGCTCTCTTCCAAACTCAATTTTTACTGGTACCCGCTCTACAACGGCTCCGCTCCGGTGCGGAGACCTGAGGTGCGCAAACAAGCATGCGCGGGATTTTCGAGATCTTGCGATACAGTCCGAGCAATAAACGCGGAAGTTAGATCCAAACACCCGTTGTGTGGGAGAAGCATCGAAATGAATTGTTTAATCTGCCTATCATGTGTGTTGAGAGATCAGCAGTGTTTGGATCAACAAAGTGTGACTACTTTGATAGTGGAAACTGTATTTATGGCTTACTTTTGTGCATTTAAAGTTCAGCCGCCATTGATAGTTGTTAAAAGTTGTTAAACCTGTGCATATGAAACAAAAAACGCCTTTTGTTTATCGATTTATTGTGAAATACGGAAATTGTGCTTGCTCCTTTTCCTGTTGGGCGGTTGTGATTTCTGTCCATTGACTGCGGAGGTGTTCCGGCGTCCGGCGAAAATAGGATCGATTCTATTTTTGCCGGACGCCAAAACAGAGGGCGGCGCACGGCGCCGCACTGCCGGAGCACAGCCGCAGTAGTGGAATAGCTCTGACTGACTACAACGGGACCGATTTTGCTCCGGCGTTCGTGTCGGAGCGGAGCGCAGCGGAGCGGAGGTAGTGGAATTTGGGGGTAAGGCTCCTTATTCCTGGGCCAGCTCATGTGGAAACGAGGATCTGAGCAACATTCGGTTAGATACTGGAAGTATTGCATACTACTGGATTTAAAAACTTTTTGCCCCTGAAAAAATGAACTTGCGAGGCTCAGGAACATTTTGCACTGTTGGCAATTGTACCAACAACCTGAAACTGTTACATTTGCAGCTATTTGAGTGATATTTGGAACATGCACTGCACTTTGGCTGTACATGATGTAACATATCAAAGGTCACGACACAGCAAGAACACACCTAAGATATCAAAGGTCAAATGTTCAGGTTCTGCCCCAGTTCTTGCTACAGCAAAGAAGCCAAAACATCTTTGCTCAAGGCCTCATGCGGGACTGCTGCATTCCTCAAGGAATTTTATTTATTTTTTGTACATATTATATAGTTTTAATAAAGATAACATCACAGTTTAAATAATTATTAACCTGTAATTCAATACAAAGGATTTAAAATCTAGAGATGAAAAGTACAAACTAGTTAGCTCTGGCTTTTTCTCTGATTTGTGCAAGAAAACCAAACTATTTAAAAAGAAAACACCATCACCCTGTAGTTAAGAGCAGAATGGAGTTAACGCAGCACCTAATCAATGCTAACAGGCTGTCAGCCTTACAATATGCTTAAAGTTAATGTGTATAACAACGTGTTCTGTCAAAGGAACAACTGTGATTGCTGTTCTCATAGTATTTCATCCATTTAATAAAAGTAAAAAAAGAAAAACGCATCTAATAGAGTAAGTGACTCTCCGAGACATGCTAATGGCTAGCCTCTCAGATGCTAACGCCAGCCTATCCATGCTAAAGGTCCGTCCAGGGGGTAGGAAATCCAGCATCGGAGAGGCCAGCCTAGGCACGCTAATGGCTAGCCTTTCTAACGCTAACACCAGCCCGTCCAGGCTAACGCTAGCCTATCCATACTAATAGCCAGCAGAGGGAGTGTGTGATCCAGTCAATGACCAGCTGAGGTCTGCTAGTCCCTAGCGTATCTAGTAGTAATGCCGGTAAAGGTGCTATTTCTCAGTAAGCAGTGCCAGCCTCTCAGTTACCGGCGCCAGCTTATCATTAATCAGATCGGTAGTTGGTTTTGGAATTTATATAGCCTCCTGCTGCTGGGCATTTGTCTTAATTTTGGCCCCCATACCGCGCCATACTCATTCAGCTTTTAGCGGGAACTGGCTTGCAGTTCGTGTGACTATTCCTTTAGGGGTCCATGTTAGACCAATCAGAGGCCAGAAAATTTAGGAGGTGTTAACAAAGTCCCCTGACATCACAATATTTTCTAAGAAACCCAGTGAAAGGATTATTTTGTTTGTTATGTTACGTAAATATGATATAACAGCCATTTGTTAGTATGCTGAAATAATGTACATAACGGATAATAAAATCCCTATGAAATCATCTAGTAGATTCATTCGGTGTATTTAAGATCTACTCCTCCTTGAACCGTCACCTTATCGTGGTGGAGCAGTTTGAGTGACCTAATGATCCTAGAAGCTATGTTGTCTGGGGCACTTTGTGCCCCTGGAAGGGTCTCCCATGACAAATTGGTCTTAGGTGAAGGGTGAGACAAAAAACGGTTCAGATGATCTTTCATGGATATACAATCAAAGAGTCGGAGTACCTGGCCCGGAGGGTTACCGGGGTCCCACCCTGGAGCCAGGCCTGTGGTTGGGGCTCGTGAGCGAGCGCCTGGTGGCCGGGCTTTCGCCCAAGGGGCCCGGCCGGGCCCAGTCCGGACCGGATACATGGGCTCATCCAACTGTGGACCCACCACCCGCAGGAGGAACATGAAGGGTCCGGTGCAATGTGGATCGGGTGGCAGACCGAGGCGGGAGCCTTGGTGGTCCGATCCCCGGACAACGAAACTGGTTATTGGGACATGGAACGTCACCTCGCTGGCGGGGAAGGAGCAGGAGCTTGTGGCAGAGGTTGAGCGGTACCGGCTAGATATAGTCGGACTCACCTTGACACATAGCTCTGGAACCCAAGTCCTTGAGAGGGGTTGGACACTCTCCTTTGCTGGATTTGCTCCGGGTGAGAGGCGGAGGGGTGGGGTTGGCTTTTTGTTAGCCCCAAGACTCTCTGCCTGTGTGTTGGGGTTTACCCCGGGGGACGAGAGGGTAGCTTCCCTGCGCCTTCGAGTCGGGGAACGGGTCCTGACAGTTGTTTGTGCTTATGGGCCAAATATCAGTTCAGAGTACCCACCCTTTTTGGAGTCCCTGGGACGAGTGCTAGATAGTGCTCCATCAGGGGACTCCATTGTCCTGCTGGGGGACTTCAGTGCTCACGTGGGCAATGACAGCATGACCTGGAGGGGTGTGATTGTGAGGAACGGCCCGCCTGATCTGAACTCGAGTGATGTTTCGTTATTGGCCTTCTGTGCAAGCCGCAGTTTGGCCATAACGAACACCATGTTTGAACATAAGGATGCCCATCGATACACTTGGTACC